CAAATGTGACGTTGTTGTTAAGCCAGATACCAAGATACTTATAGTTTTTGATGAAATCAATCTCAGTACCATTCAAAGAATCTATTTTAAAGGAGCTCTCGATTTGTGGTAAGTTTCTGTTAAAAAACATACATTTAGTTCTGTCTGTGTTCAGAGCCAAATGCAGACTAGTTTGTTTGACTGAAGTGAAATTAGGCTGCAGTGAGGACAGAGCAGTAGTCAGGCATGGACTAGAGGTGTAGCTGTCATCTGCATATATGCAGTGGGGGGAAAAAGTATTTATTCAGCCACCAATTGTTCAAGTTCTCCCACTGAAAAAGATGAGAGAGAGGCCTGCAATCATAGTTAGACCTCAACTGTGAGAGAGAATATGAGAAAGCATATCCAGAAAATTACATTGTCTTTTTAATTTATTTTAATTTATTCATTTTTAAGAATTTATTTTCAAATTATGGTGGAAAATAAGCATTTGTTCAACAACAAGCAAGCAAGATTTCTGTAAAACTAAAAGAACTGACTCTGTGGGCTTCCTCATAATTCAACAGGTTGGTTGTGTTTCCTTCAGGTGTTGATAGCAGTGGGTCGAAACGCCTGTACAGATAAGATTGGACTGGACATTGCAGGAGTCAAAGTAAACCCCAAGTAAGTTTGAATCAGTTGGTCAGTTGTTACTTTTGTTGTTGTTTTTTTTTGTACATTTGATTGCCTCACCTGTGTTCAGCTGTGCCTTTCAGTACCATTACTGTGGGTCAGCAGTTTGTGCTTTTCAATGATTCTCTGCTGCGTTGATATTTGTTAGGTAAAACAAGATGACTTGTTAGTAAAATGAGAGAGCCACAGTATGGTGAGTCAGTACAGGTCACTTAGTAATGATTTTACAACAGTCCTGTTTATTTACACTAGGGAGGATAAAAAGCAGATTAGTTGGAGCATCTGATGGTCATCAGCTTTACTGATTCTGTTAAAGCTTTGAAAATGCAACCTTAGTTTTGCCATGTCTTTGTGTGCGTTTTTTTATTTTATGAAAGACTGAGTAGTTAAGCTTGTATAAGCATGAGACCTGCTTAAAAATGCTGTTCTGGTTTAATGACCTCTGAAACATTAAGAAAAGGTGTACATGCAGTAAGAGCCATAAACGTCCTTTTTAAAATATGTAGTGAGAACAAGGGGAGAGCCGGTAAGGGTGATGACTGTTTCTACCTGTTAGGGCACCATATCAGCTTTTACTGATAAATACTTATTCGCCCTTTATAAATCAGACACAGACACTTAAGGCTGGGCGATATGGCCTAAAATCAATATCATATACAGTATATTGACCAGTTCACCTCGATAATGATAAATGCATGATAACACTTAACGCCACCACACAGTTTCTCACAGTTTAGTTTTCTCTAATGAAGTATTATACAAAACCATTAACCTGAACCATTTGGACCAAAGGGATTTGTAAGGAAAAGTTTGATTTTGAACAGCTTTTCTGTAGTT